AAATTGATAGACTTTTATTTAATATTGATAGACTTTTTTTAACCCATCTTTTTAAATAAACATCATCCATGAGAATATCAAGAAAAAAATCATCATTAGAAACTGTGGTATAATTAATATGATAAATTGTGTAATTTATTTGCTTGTACAACTTATACCATATTACCTGAGTGTATTAACAAAAAAATTTTTTTCTAAAGATGTAATCAAGGTCCACAACTGCTGTTCCTTCTAAGTCTACAAAATTCACATTACTCCTAAAAAGTCAGCTATAGCTCCTAGAAGGATCACAATCAACTTCTAGTCCATGGTGAAACAATAGATTGTTATTTCAAAGTTACAGAAAATAATAATGACACTGTTGAAAGGCTTAAAAGAATTTAATTGGGAAAACCTGATTTTGATAAAATTAAAGCAAGGTTACTTACTAGATTATGGATTGTTAATATTTCTTTCAACTCAAACAACCTTGATGATCCTAATGTGAATATTATAAATGTGCTAAATGGCCAGAAATTCCTCCAAATACAGTTGGAGATGTCTTTACTGAATAACCTGTTGAAAATCGCGTACACATTGTTGTGTTACCCAAATCTATTGGTAAGTGAATAATAAATATTATATTAAATTGAAAGGTTGTGCAAATACCTAATGAAATTAATGAAAAAAAAAAATTACCAAAATCAAAATAATTATCATACACCTATAATTATCTATTTTAATAACTGTTCTCTTAATATGCATTACTTAGAAGACTATAAACTTGATATAATGAAACAAAAGCTTGAGATAGAACATAATACTGGTAAGGGAATAATAGAATTCATGTTGGCTATTAAAAAAAAAAGTTGAACATAACACAATAATTATCATGATATATATAATATTGTTTTTACTGTTTTAATAAGACCAAGTAATATTTTGTGCATCCGGCAGTACCGAGGGAAGTATTAATCTCATCAGGAGATTAAATTATGTGTATATTAATGTAGATTTATCAAATATGGGTAATCCCGAAAATTTACACCTTGAAAAAACTCGTAAATACACGATATTGTTTAATTTACACTTAAAATATAGTATTTGATAATTCGTGTCTAAAATAATTGCATAGATTTTTTATAAACAGATAGTTTCAAAAATCTATATTCTGAAAAATTGTATAAATACATAATTTTGAGTATTCTATATATAAAATCACAGTCTAAAATATTTCAACAAATTTCCATCTAAAAAAAAATTGTGTAAATTTACATAAACAAGTAGTTTCGGATATTCACATTCTAAAAAATTGTACAAACATATGATTTTAAGCAATCCATACATAAATACAACAATTCGAAATATTTTGATAAATTTGCGTTTAAAAAAGTAGTGTGGATTTATATAAATAGATAGTTACACCATTTTATGATATAAAAAAACATGTAAATATGCAATTTTGCGTAACTTACTCAAAAAGTATGATTTTTAAGATAAATATAAAATATAATACTGTAAATTATAAAAAAAGTTAAATAACATAGTGGTTAAGTTGCGAGATATGATATATAATAAAATAACTCATGGTAATCAGTTCGATTCCTAAGGTAAGCAAAAAAAAAATAAATAAATAAATATAAAAAAATTATGCCGAGTAAATAAAAATATTAAGGAAAGAAATAACAAATGAAGGAAAGGAGAGAGGTGAGAGAGAAATAAAGGGAACAAGAAGAAAAAGAAAGGAAAAGAAGAATTTTATTGTGTATTCCCTTATATTTAAAAATACAAAAATTTTTTTATTAAATTAATATAGGAATTCTCATTATTAAGAATATTTGTGATTTTACACGCCCGTATACCCACGTAGGTGTCGTGAATTTGCGTGATTTTTTACATACGTGTAATTTTGCAAATCTACACCCTTTTTAAACTCCTGATGGCTTCATACAAATGAAGAAGTGAGAGAAGCATTTCAATATATCGATGTTAATACATGAACTACCATTCTCAAAGATCCCACAAATGATGGTATGGAGTATATGATTACAATTAACTTAATTAACTTGAATTAGCAATCAACTATGAAACAAGATCAGGTTGTTCTTTTAATATGATTATAACCTCCATAAAGTTGATATAATGAACGAAGGTTTGAGATAGAATGTAATGCTGATAAGTGAATAATAGAATTTCATGCATGTTAACAAGAAAAATTGGATATATCACAATGATTATATTTTTATATATTTATGTATTTATCTAGTTCGAATATGCAAGTTTAAAAATATTTGACATTTAATTCTAAGTCTTTGCAATAAAGAAATAAAACGCACAAAAAAATTATTCCACTACCCACATACTATGCCAAAATTCTGCTGATAATAATTTTAATACTTAAAAGGAAAATTTAAATTTTGTATTGATTTAAAAACTCGCAAATAATAAAAATAAATTAAACCAATTAAATATAATCAAATATTGTTCAAGTTGTTCTTATAAAGCTTCCTAAATCTACAAAATTTTATTATTTTTTTTTTTTTGAAAACTTAATTCTTGAAAATTCTCATTCAAATACAATGTATTTTTATTTATAAATTAAACGGTAGTTTAACTTTCTATTATTTGACTAATAACGTATACCGGCAAAATTGTAAATACGCTCAATTTTTCTTTTGAAAATGAAACTTTTTATACTAACACTGTTATAATACAACATTTGTAAGTGTAATTTTTTATTATACTGTAACGTAATGATTAAAAATAATTTTTTTTACATGTAATTAAGAGAAACTCTTACTCTTTTTTCATATGATTGCGTTTTACATATCAGTTGAAAAGGAAATGGATAATAAAAAAGAATAAATTCTTCCAAGATATTGTAAAAGTTCAAATACGTCAAAATTATATTAATAATATTAATTATGATATTTTTTATCGTAAATCGGAAATCTTTTAATGACTTTTTTTAACAAGTATTGGATAGATTATATTTTACTATAATAACGAACAAAACAAAATTTAAATTTGGTTTGATTTAAAAATGTCGAATTATATAATATTTTTTTTTATTTTGAATTAATAAATTTTTTATTGGGTATTAATTACTTCAAATTATACTTTTTATTGATTTAAGATATAGTATGTATTAAATGGTCAAAGACTGATAACTTCATCAGTTATAGTTCGGTCAGTGACGTGCAACTAATACTGATTTCAATATTGGATGTCTCATAAAAATATCTTAATCGACTGAACAAATAACAGTAATTAATTTTTAGTGTTAACATGATAGCAACAAATGATGAAATAATATACTAAGAAATTGAAAAGTCTCATCACACATATAATGACAAAGTACTGAAAAATTCACATCTGACATCATACATACTATAAAGTGATACGGTCCTTCATAAGGTCCGTAAGGGGCTTTTTTAAAAGTGAACCATGGTTTACCCATAAAATTGTTCATAGCATCTTGCCGTAGCGTACCATCCCATGGCTCCTATCGCAGCATGCTGGTACCTGGCGTCCTTATCCCAAACCATTATAAAATCTTAACATCCCATACTTTAACTTCATTTATAATTTTGATTTACTTAAATTTATTTAAAGTTACAATTTTTTTTTTTAAGTTAAGCTTTTTGTAGAACCATAAAAACTTTTCAATCTCGTATCCTATATTAACGTGAACGTCTAATATAACAACGAGCTTACTAAAAGTAAGAGCCTATTTTCTAACTCGCACGTAAAATTATACCACATTCACCACTGCTCCACAACCACCATATCACACGTCGCAGTCATCGCACCATTATACCATAACCACAAGGTAAGAGATTAGGGTAAAGTATAAGAATAGGGGTAAGGGAAGAGGATTAGTGTAAGGTATAGGGAAGTTATTAGACAATGAACATAAGGAAGTATAAACCAGGAAAAGAACTGGGTAAGGGTTAGGAATTAATGTAAGGGAAAATGTTGGGAAATAATCAGGATTCAGGGATTAACTACTTTAATTAGGGGAAGGAAAGAGATTAAGGTAAGGGAAGAAGTTATATGATAAGTAACTGAGATAAATAAAATAAAGAATAAATGAGATTGCAAAATAAAAAAAAATTCTTTAATATATTAGGTATATTTTTTTATCATATAAATTTTCATATAAAAAGTGTATATTATAAAATTACTGTACGAAATCATTTTTTATTGTATATATAAAATTATAGTTGCGAACAATTGTCTTGATTTCCAAAATCCAATAAACTTTACTTATTATTGCTTAATTACCTATTTCGTGAATCGTGACTATAATACTTTTAAAGACACTAGATGTGACTAAATTTTAGTTTTCTTGCCCCTTAATTATCGACAATGTAAACATCGTACTGATTGTCTCAATTAAATAGAATATAAATTAACAATTAACAAGAAAAAATTTTAAAGCAAGTGAGAACATCCATCAATTGCATCAATTGGGATCTTCAATATTATCTTCATGTATTATTCTCTTTCCTGCTTAAAGAAATATTACGACATATTTATGCTAATCTCATTTTTCATACAATTATTTAATCATTATGGAGTAATTTTAATTTTTTTCTACCATATAATATATAAATATGTTCAATAAAATACTATGAAAAAAAAAATAAAGTACTGATAACTTGTTTCAAATCAAAATTTTATTATTATAAACTTCTACATTTTTGGTTAGAATCTAATACCATGACAAAAATTATCTCAAGTATGACTGAATTAGTTATGTTTCACTTGTACAATTTAGACTGATTGCATCCAAATATGGCATGATTAAAATCTTATCAATATGACTATTATGAGAGATTAAAATCAAATTAATTGCATATTACAAGTCATCGATTATCAATCTAAATTTTTTTATATATTTCATAATCTTATTTTTTTTTTCAAGGTCTAACAACTTCAGTTTTTCCTTTATTTTAAATCACTACAAATTTTACTTTTTCTCAAAATTTACTTTTTCTTCAAAAAAAAAAAAAACAATGAGTAACCCTCAAATAATCCTTGCTGATAATTGTAAAAAAATATTAACTATTTTAAATAATATTGCCAAGAATGAAGATAACACTCCTCTTATAGGTTATCCTGTTCTTATTGGGTCACGTGCTACAAAATGGCATAATTCTTCTTTCCGTGAACCTAATGATTGGGATTTGGTGGCAACTCCTTCACAAACAACTTTATTTATTAATAAAGTTGAAGAATCTATTGCAACTTTTAGAAAAATAAAATTAATTCATTATCCAGGAGGTGGTCTAAAACTTGTTGGAGAGTATATTGATCAATCTACAGATGAAAAATCTATTAGTTTTGATATTGAACTTGTCTCTGAGAAAGTGGATCTCAGGAACATGAAATTAATTATGAGTTTGAATAAAGAAGAGAGTGATGATGAAGATGAAAGTGATAAGGATGATGATCAATATTACAGACGTTACAGACGTTATTTTAAGAGATATAATTTTGATGATGATTCTGAGAATTCTGAAAATAATAATGATGATGATTCTGAAAATTCTGAAAATAATAAGGATGATGATAATAAGGGCAATACACAAGATGATGATGAAATCAATAAAATTGAATTTGAAATGTTTGATGATCCTAAACCAAAAATAAGTGCTCTAATGATTTTAGAATTATGTCGTAATATTGAAGATAAAACAATACTTCCATTATTGTCAAATTATTTATGTATTGTTGCTCCATTGAAAATCCTTGAAGCTTTGAAAACATCTCATATTTATTGGCCAGAAGATTTTTATAAAAATATCTCAGATTTACATTGGTTGAGAATTTTATTAGATTATAATAAAGTTTCACCAATTCAACCACTATGTAGTCCACAACGTGATGAATTAATTGAACTTATGTTGAAAACTCGTATTAAAGAAACTGAAATTATACGAGGTAATCCAGGTGCACATATCAATTTAAATATGTCCAATGAAGATTTCTTAGAAAATGAAGATAATCTTTTTGTACAAACACGTGTTCCTCATGATGATTTACATGAACTCGTTAAATATGGCGATCATCCGATTTACCAAGGCTTAAAGGATGACCAGGTATAAAGTTTAAGGAACTTAATAAAGATTATTGTGTTTTAATTAAAATTTTATTCAAAAACTAATTGCTTAATTAAATAATTAAAATATAGTCTAAAGCGTGGATAAAAAAATCACTTTTTGAAAAACTTGACTATCAAACAAAAATTAATTGTGTTAAAGAAGAAGCAATGGCTATTGCACTTGAAAGATATCTTATTCCAATGATCTCCAATAATCAAGAAAATTCTTATAAATCGGCACTTGTTAGGATCTGTACTACATTAACTAAAGGCTGGTATCGTAAATTTGCAATTGATAATTATCCTCGACTTTCAAACCTTGATAAAGATTTATTATCAATTGCTAATAATATAATTGAGAAATTTCCTATAAAACAAAAAAAGCCAGATATAATATTACTTGATCCAGAAACTCAAGCTATTTTTGAGTCTATTCGTCCATATACCAAAACAATTTCTTCATTTGATGAATTTGAGATTGATAATCGTGGTTCTGAAGTTGAAATTGAAAGAACTGGAATTAAGATTACTTCTCCTGTAAATGATGACATATCAGTAACAGCTATTATTACAACTGTGTGTATATCTATCACTGAGGAAGTTTGCACTCCATCTGCTGATTGGACAGCATCTGTTGTAATCTTACCTACTAATGACATGGAAATCTTAAGGTAGAATTTATTAATAAATTATTTTTTTATTTTATGTATTTTATTTATTTATACTTACTTAGTATTTAAACAATTATTTAATTTAAGTGTTGATGAAAATAATAAAAAAAGGTATGCTTTCTATTTATCAAGAATAATTATATTATTTTTACAATAAATTGATGCTAATCATAAACCACATTTCAATTTTTATTTCAGAAATTTGTCTAATTTTTCATTTATAGATCCATTGAACATTCATCCTTATTATGAAAGTTACTGTTCAAAATTTTTAAATCTTACCTCTAAGAATACATTTGTACTTGCAATTGACGCAAGTAGTGGTAGTAGTTGGGGAGTAGGACAAGATGTTTGGAAATCAAGATGTGTTGAAGCTAAATCAGCTGATTATGTTGCTAGTTTACTTGAAATCCCTGATCTTACTGGTGATTTATTATTTAAATATGTATTGGATTATTTGAAACCAACTTTAAAACATAATGGTGAGACACCACTTAAAAATTGGATCAATACATTGAAAGTTAAAGGAGATATTCCAATGGTACCAAACCAACATCTTTGGTATAATGCTTGGAATTATAAATTGAATAAAAAATCCAAAAAATCTCACCATTAGCTATGAAAGTATTAATAAGTAATTATTAATTTTCTTAGGGGAACAAGATTGATTATCAATGAAATTATAATAAAGTGATTATATAAAAAATAGCAAATAATAGATTAATTTGTGTTATATGATTTGTGATATGTGTATGTGATAGTGTAATACAGTAGTTGCGATAAACATAATTGACCAGTTCCTCGTTTATTAGTTTGATAAAAAATTATATAAAATTCTCTAAGCTATTACCTAAAAAATCTACTGGTCGGAACGATCGATCGAACATCTATGTCACATAAAACCATGAATCAAAAAATTATTGTTGATCGTCAGTTATGTTGAAAAATTCGGACCTTTAATGACAAGATGAAATCATTTGAAACATTTGAAAATATTATTGGTAATATTATGAACGTACATGAAATTTCAAGAAAAAATTTTGTATATTTTTAACATCCTTATTATTTTATTTATTTAAATCAAGTGGAATTATACTTAATTAAAAGCTTTCTATATTGAGTATTTGAGTTAAATTTAAAGATATAATATTACTACAAATTGGATTTAATATTAATCGAATTGATATCTGATCAAAATCTTGACAGCCACTTGCACGACTAACACAAGATTGACAACAAAATCTCGACAATCCAAAATCTCAACTCCCGACAAGTCATTATATCGTTCAAATGATTTTCGAGATTTCGTATCAAAACCAATCGAATTAATTAATTTTATTATTATTATTATTATTATTATTTTATTTTTTCAAAAAATTCGCTTTGGAAGGAGCCTTCAAGGCGCAAAATTTCTTCGCTCGACAAGTCTCGTGTAATGTATAAATATTGGATAAATATCACATGCTTTATCTGTGATTTATCAAACGATAATTTGGTATTGTCATAAATTGACATAACCCCGATTAACCCGTATGTGTTACCAAAGTGCCATAGTAACTACCGCAGGGTGCTTTGTAAGATAAGATTTCACAAAAAAGTAACCTAGGCAATTCGACTAAATTACCAATAACTTTGAATCTTTCGAAGACTCCTTGGATAAGAGCCGTGGAATACCAAACGTTACCTAAGAGTGTAAAGGTTACTGAATAAAAATGACAAATAATTCATTTCCATTATTACTGTATTGGCTACATAATGTAAGCTTCACACGGCTCTATTTTTTATTCACGTAAGTGAAAGTGTCTAAAGCCATGTTAAATATCTTCAAAATATTATTTTACATGCCGTAATTATTTATTATTTACTTAGGTTTATTTGCAAAAAACTGATTAAATTTGTAATTCGTGTAACAATCGGAGCATCGCCTCGAATCATACATGTTGCCGAAATTTTCCGAAAATATGGCCGAAGCCGAAATTTAAACATGGCCGAAATTATTTGGTAATTCTGGGCAAATTTGCCAGAGTTGTAAATCACGTGACATAGAATAGGCTACACAAAATTTATAATGTAGGCCAAAATGTATAGTGCTGGCCAGACAATTTCGGCCTGAATTTCGACTTTCGGGAATGACTGGACGAAACTGAAACCTGAAATTATGCCGTAATTGCTGAGTTTCGGCAACATGTATACCTCGAATATTCCAAAACTGCGTTTCTTACATGGGATTTCAAGAAAGTTGGTTTTTTGCCTTAATTATAATTATGTTAAAACTCATCAATTAAGTTGGTATCACTTATCCGACCTTAAATATTTTAGATTTGTAGATTTTTACAATGCTTATGTATGAAATTTTAATTGGATGAATAAAAAGCCTATAATTTATTGATATATATATATATATATATGTTTTTATAATAATTTTCATATTTCGTTGCGATAAAAAAGAATCAGGATATCAAAAATGATGATAATACATTGTAATCAAACCTTTTAACACGAAAATTAAATTAATTAATCATACACCTAATTTTATAAAGATTAATTGGGTAGTGGCCAATAATGCATATGGAATAAAGGCTTGCAAGAGCCTACGCAAATTGTTTCAGAGGCATAATAACAATGAGAATATGTAGTCATTGACACTATAATTGCATCTCCCGGAGTTAATTTTGAAGCATCAAAATTGTCAAATCGTGTATATGCGTAGTCTCCTTCATAAAGTTGATCACATTTAAAACTACTCCTATCACAATCATCATCTTTTTGTAAGATATTACTCCCATCGTACCCATTTACCCATGTACGATCTCCCACAAAAGTAAAAAGTGGATCTTTTGAGCCATCATCTTTATAAATCATATAATTTTCAAGTAACATTACGCCCTGTTGCAAACAACATGGGTAAAGATTAGGATCATCTCTTTTATCTGGCTGAACTAATTGTAATCGGACCACCCCTGCAGCCGGAAATATAATTTCTGATACAATACTTCCATCATCTTTTTATTATAATAGAATAGCGTAAGTATAAAAAAAAAAAAGAATTAATTATTAAATTAGCTATCTTGAATAAATAAAGAAAAGTTTTTTTTTAGATAGCTTACTATCACAATCGCCGTAAGTTACAAAAGCAAAAGTTTTGAAGAACATAAGAAATAATACAATAATAAAAACTATAAGTTTCATGATTAATGAGTTGTTTGTATAATGAAATTAGAAAAAAAAATAACTATCATGGGAAGTTGTGATTCTGTTAGTTTATTTATACATTTTAGAATTGAGAGTATAAGAAAAAGATTATCATATTCATATTAGGCATCCATTATTTGTATAATTTAATAACATGTTTAGAGATCCCTGTTTGGATAGAACTGAAATATTACGAATATTACGAATGGATATGAGTAAATAATGCTAAAACTCAAACCTATATTCAACACTTTTTGAAATTTTACCCCTTAATAACTAATTATACCAAAATGGGTTTATTATGGACTGATCTACTGATCAGAAATGATTTTACCTTTCATTATATGAAACAAAAAGAACTCTCGTCAAAATTATATTATTTTTAATTTAATATTCATTGCACTTGAATTTAAAAAGGAAATAATTCTAAGTCTGAAAGAAAGTGATCGGATGCGGCACGATTTCTCTTCCCGACAGGACATTTTCCAGTCAGGTTTGGCAAAGTTATGCGGAGTTATGCACGAACACGTGACCAAGCGGACAGCGTTAGGGTCAGCAGACATCATCCATTATACATATGAAAAGCATGTAATTAAAGCGTGTTTATCATATTTACTTTAAAAAAAATATAACGTAATAGGTTAATGATAAATCAACTAACATCATTTTCCAAAATGATTCTATAGTAAATAATACTAAATTCTCATTTCCATTTCATCCGGACATTTCGCCGAAAGCCGTTTCACCGAATAGAAAGAAGTCTTATATTGGTAAATTTCATGATCAGAAATAGATTTGAACATTAGCCTATATGATTTTGAAGTTTTTGATTTTTTAATTAATTGAAGAAAGTTTTGTTTTTTTTTAAAAAAAACTATATATATAAATACATATTATATAAATATTTTGTGCATACAAGTATTATATGTTATTAGAAGACTATAACACAAATATAATTGCTATTCGTGAATATTTAAACGTGTTCAGTAAAATAAAGTTATTTATTTATTACGTAACAATTAATATCAGTTACTTGAATATTAAAGTGATATTATCATAGAAGAAAAGACACTCAAAAATAAAAAGAATTTTTTGTTTGAACATTTATTTAATTTTTAAAAATAGGTGACGTGGCAAAAGAATATAAATAGAAACTAAAAAATGAAATGTTATATACGCTTGTGTATCATCCATTTAATATATATTTAACGGTGTGATGGTTTTCAGTATGTTCTATAAGAGGAACTTTAGGATTTTCACGTCTAAGTTTTATTTTATACATTTGTCATTTGTATATTCGGAATATTTATTAAGATTCCTGATGTAATTTGATAAATGAATAATAAAAAATTTTTATTTCCATTGCGCAATTAATATTTTTATAAAATAATAATCGCTATCATGTCTATCATTTTCGGCGAAATGGCTTTCGGCAAAGTGTGCCGTAATCAGATGAATCATTTCAACTTACATCATTTAGTAATACTGTTTATTTTTATTAGTATTTATTCTTCATTTTCGGTTAGCAAAGGAAGGAAAGTTAATAACTATCAGAATTCAAATAAAATAAATTTATATGGTGTAATTACACGCCCATGCTTACGCACGTTTGCCACCACGTCATTGAACATTGTTAACTTTATTCATAATAACAAAATATACAAAATAATCAAAATTATCCCGAGTTCATGCCTGGTGCTAAATAAAATATAAGATAAACCTAAAATAAACTAATAAAATTAATATTCCTTAATCCCAAATTCCTTTATCATTACTAAATTCACATTATTCATAATTTACAATTCCGAACTTCGATAGTTTCCCTTAAGTAACATAATTTCCCGTATAGCACCTTTCATAAATTCATTAATAACATTTCCAAAATCCTAAATATAACTTTCGAACTGCGATAATTCCCCCTAAGTATCCATAATTCTCGTATATCATTTCACATAAATTCATTAACAACATAATATCAAAGTGACATAAACATTAAAATATTACTAATTTTACCACTTATTAATATTTATCGATTATTTCTCCATATTCTAATAAAATACTAAGCCTCTTTTAATTCCAAAATATTCACTTTTTATACTTTTTAAGTTCCCACGTAGTTCCGTATCCTGTATTACTCGATTTAGATATTCCAAATTAAAATTAATTTTAATACTTCATTATCGATTTCCCTTTATAAATTCTTATTGATCACTTGTAATTCTCCTAAATTTCATAATTATCAAAATCAACTTCTTATTATTAATTCAAAAATTCTTGATGTCCGGCATCATTCAATTCCGAAGTTCATTGTATTATCTGATCTACAATTCCTTTGTCACAATCACTTTCCTTTGTCGATCTTTTTACTATTGTCATCTTAACAGTGATATACATACCCCTTTACTCAAACAAATAAAACTAAATAAAAATAAGTGCATGGACGTTCATCATAGTTTAAGGTCATCGCGGACCGCAACAAATAAATAAAATCAAAATTTTCTAAGTATCTAAACTAAATATAATACTGCGCCCTATACTAGGTAAATTCCGGCATTACAATGGACATGCTAGTGTCAATCATACATGATAGCACTAATAATTCAAGTTATTGAAATGAATTACGAAATCAATATCATTAAATGTACTATATTTACTAAAATGAAAAAGGGAACCTGACGATAGAATCCCGATAAGACACAAACCTGGCATTGTATTTCTTATAAAGTCTACATAATGTCCTCATATAAAATTTTATAAATTTATAAAACACATATAATTTGTTTATTTTTTTACGTGAAACTAAATAACTAAGAAAAATAACCTTCCTGCATAAATAAATAAATTGAATTGTGTAACGTGAAACGCGTGATATACCTGATACGGTTAATGAAATTATCAGGAAGATACGATCGGCAATTGAGCCTAGGACCTACTTCCTTCCTTTTTTGGAATACAACTTATTATTACAACGGCCAATCACAATAAATAACACTATGAAATTTAGATCATCTGATTGCTAACAACTTTGTATCGTGATCTGTATATATTGATAATTAAACCAATAATACTAGTGCATTGATCATTTCAATGATCAAAACATTGAATAATAAAAAAGCTCCGAACAGTTCCAATTTTCAATTCTTTTTTAATTGGTCAGAATTGTTTTCACGTAATAACTCACCATCCAGTGATCATAGAAAGACGATTAAGAGCTCATTAGAATCCTCTTATTGAGAGCTTTCAAATGATGCCAAAATCATCATTTTAGCATCGATAGATGGCGAGTTATTTTGACACATTATCAAAAAAAATAAAAATTGAAACCATTTGGACAGGAGCTTTAAACAATACGCAAAATAATATTATGTACTGATTATTGACATTTACTGAACATTATTCACTCAAGAATTGCTCATTGTATTGTTCAATGCTATATTATTTTTTGTAGAATTATTTTACTTTTTATTCAATACTTATCAATTTTTAAACTTCACAAAAAATTTAATACATATTTAATCAAAGGTCATCTGATTTAACTTCAAGAAACTTTCAGTTAGTAAAGTTAATCCAAAATTAAATTTTTCATAAAATTTTATCCATTTAACTTTTATAAACCTAAATTAAATATGTGTTATATGTTCAGATAATCCAAATTTATCAGAAAATAAAAAAATTTTTTTTATTATATTCAAAAACAAAGATAATAACCAATTCTTTTTTTCAATCACTTTTCAATCACTTTATTGTTAAAAAAAATTAATAAATATATAAAGTGGTTATTTTAAACAGTAAGTAAAAAAAAAAATTATTATTCATAAGAAAAAATTATTTTTTTTATTTATTTTAACTTCAGTTCCCTACTTTTTTTTATATAAAATATTAAAAATATAAGCTTTAATATAAGATTTTTTATTTTTTTTAAGTTAATAAGATTCTAAAATTTTTTTTTTGATAAGAAATGATAACTTTATGTCAGTTTATGCAATTAACAAGTTCATTAATATCTTGGCATTCACATATGCTAATCAAATAATTTTAAACTCATTTGAAAGGTAAGAATGTACTTTATTTTAGCATTACTAGGCATGGTGATATCAACAATCAAAGATAAAAATTAAAAAAAAATATATTGAATGCATTTGCTCAGCAACCAGTGAATCAATTCATTTGTTTTTGGATTCATTAGATAGGTCTTAATTTTCTCTTTTGGATGAATATAAATTCATCCATTTATCTTACATAGACATCAAGTTATTTGCAATTTTGTTCCAAGAATTTTATAATGATTATTTAAATTTTAATAATGGTGTATTAAAAAAAATATGATTAACAATTTTATTCATAGATTATTATTTTGTGCAACCGGTAATTTGGTAAAGTTTGTTTTTTAGAATCAAAAAGTGCTAATTCCAAAAATTGGCATATATGAACAAATGATATGCTTGGGGGACGAAGTCCCCCTTATTTAAGAAATAAATAAAGTTAAAAAAATTAAAAATGTATAGA